CAAGCTGCTTTAAGGACTTACCTTGAGTGATGCCTCTTCATCCGATCATCTTCTTCCCACCAGTAGTTTTCAAACAGACTGCTGTTTCTTCTGTGTCCCACAGAGTCTGGCCGACGTACACGCTCCCGGCTGCATGCATTGACTTACAGTTTGTCTCTCTTCCTCTCCCCGCCTGTGTTCTCTACTGCGCATTCTCCTGCACACATCCTCCTGCATGGCCGTTCAAGAAGCTGATTTCTACAGCCAGGAGTGAGCGGCGCAGGCCTAGGTACGTTTTTACCTGTTTAGCAAGTTTTTTTTTTAAATGCTATTTGCATATATCTACTGCTTGCTAGCAGTAGATAGATATATGTAAAAAAAAAGAAGCTTACTTCCCACTGACTTTCTTTACATTTCATATGATTTAAGACCCACCCTATTTTGTCTCTGCCATAATTAATGACTCCATTCAAATATTAGGGTCCAGCATATACTGTACCTTTGTTCTGGAATCCTATCAACTCTCTTCTCCCATAAGCAGGACAGCTGTTTTTGCAGACTTGATTGGCTGTCTCTTCTCGAATATCAGGCCTCCAAGCTCCTGGTTGTAGGATTCATGAAGAAGGATAAGTATTCTATATGTCTCCCTTACATTTTCACCATTACTAAGTAGAGTGATTTAACAATGTTATGTGAACCGCGTGGCCGGGATGTGATCTGAGAAGGACGCACATTAGCGGAGCTCCATTCCTTGTATCCTTCTGAGATCACGGCACAACTCTTTTACTCATTGCTCATTTACTTCATGTAGACTATTGCTACATCCTTTGGGCGACTTCAATTATGTCTCCTAGCAAACGCAAGACTCCGCGGTCATCGGTGGGTCCTCCGCGTGTTGCTCCTGAGGCAGCCATTTTGGCCACGTTGGCTGAGTGCAACAGGATGTCAGTCGGCACACAAACTGCTCCGGCGGCAGCTGCGGATGATCAGCCTTCGAGCATGGATATCCTTGCGGTGAACACCACCTGCAAAGAAGCACTTACCTCCAAGATCGATTTTCTTTTCTTGGATGCCAGCTTTATTAGACATGATCTTGATAAGTTTTATACCCGCATGACCGACACAAGGGGCCGCATCTCTCAGCTGGAGGTTTCGGTGCAGACGAATTCCACAGAAATGCAAGCTCTTTGACATGGGTGTACTTCATGATCGGGTGATTGACACCGAGAACAGGCTCCGACGCAACAATGTTTGAATCCTGGGCCTCCCGGAGCGAGCGGAAGGTGACCGGCCTGCTGACTTTGCAAGGCTTTTCTTTTGTCGAGCTTTTCCACCTTCAAGATATGTCTGCCACATTTGTTGTGGAACAGGCCCACTGTGTCCTTTTGAGGCCTCCGGTACCTGGGGCTCCGCCACGGCCTTTCCTCATATGTCTCCTGAATTACCACCATCGGGATCTGGTTCTCGCTGATGCCTGCAAGCATTCATCTTTGTTATATGAAAACTCCTGCATCTTCTTATTTCCCGATTATTAGTCTGAGTTACAACAACGCCGCCACTCCTTTGCTGAGGTGCGCCAGTGACTCCATGACAAAGGTCTCAAATACAGTCTCCTCTACCCCAGTCGCCTTGGAGTTGTTGATGGACACAAAGCTTGTTTCTTCCATATTTCGTCAGCCGCGACATCCTAGCTGGATGCTTGTTGATGCACCGCAAGTGTACCTGTTTTGCACATTTGTGTGCTCCCCTTGGGACTTGTCTTCTGTTTATTAGGTCCCTTTGGAGTGACCTGCTAATGGCCCATCTATCTACTAAGCCAGGGGTGCCCACAAGGTCGATCGCGATCTACCAGTCGATCACGTAGCGATCACTGGTAGATCGCCATGTCCTCTCCTACCGCCGCTTCTCTGGATCCCCGCTGCTCTCCACAGCGGGGATCCGAGAAGAAGTGAAGGAACCGGTGGCGGGGGAGGGCGGAGGACCGAGCCGCTGTCACTAACTAATGCAGAGCAGTGAGGAGAGAGAGAGAGACGCTCGGCCAGGATCTGACAGCCGGCGCCTCTCTCTCCCCTCACTGCTCGTCCGTTCTGTCACAGCGGCTCCGCCCCCCCAGCCATGTGCCACCTGATGGAACCCTCCATTATAATTTTTCTTTGTGCCCTCATCTTTTTGTTCATGAACAGTTTTGGCCATGGGGTTCCTTTTTTTTACTCCCTAGCTGACATTTTTTGCTATATTTTTCTCTGGTCTAGGGAACAAACCCACCAGCACTATTCATGTTTCCTGGTTTTTTCCTGGTGTTGCTGGCTGAGTAGGGTGTTTATCTTTCCTGGGTGTTTTTTGTTCATTTACGTCTTGGAACGTCAGAGGTCTTAAATCTAAGTTTAAAAGGGCCCTAATGTTCCAATACGTAAAGTCTTTAGCCCCACATATACTTCTCCTGCAGGAGACCCACCTCACTGGTAAGTTACTTACGCTCAAATGTCCTTGGGTTAAAAAATCGTTCCACTCCATGTACTCCTCCTTTTCTAGGGGGGTTTCTATTTTAATGCATAAGGCACTTCCCTGTGTTGTTGACGCAGTCCATACTGACCCCAATGGGAAATTTGTTATTTTAATTCTTACTCTCTGGAGGCAGTGATACATTATAGGTAATGTTTATTTACCTCCTCCCTTTAAACAGGATGGGCTGTATACCCTACTGGATAAAATCTCTCCCTATTGTCCCTCAGAAATTCTATTTATGGGTGATTTCAATGCTGTCCTTTCACCAGTTCTTGATAGATCCTGTTCTTCCTCTGTATCCATTGGTGATCTCCTTGCTTGGACGTCTGCCGCATGTCTTGAGGAGCTTCGGAGATGGAGAAATCCGGATCGAAGGGCCTACTCTTGTTTTTCCTCCACCTACAGAACTTCCTCCCGGATTTATTTGGCATTCAGTAATCACTCTCTCCTAGCTGATGTGCTCTCGGTTGACTACCTGCTGGGGGGACTCTCTGATCACTGACCTCTGGCCCTGACCCTGCAGACTTCTCATAAAAAGAATGGGATGTTTGGCACTTGGGGGGCGCATTGGATCTCTCATCGTATGGCGAATAACAGCATTTCTCCTGCATTAGTTTTTTACTGGTCCTTTAACTCCTTGACAGCTTCTCCCGCACTGCTCTGGGATGCCTGTGAGGCTTATGTCTGTGGTCAGTATATGTCTCTCATCCAGGTCATCAAGAAGGAACAGTAAGCCTGTACCAAGACGTTTCAGGATGAGGAACATAGGTGGGTGACCCAGTATAATGCATCTCCTACTTCTGATAACTTTCAGTGCCTTATGTCCGCTAGATGGATTTTACAGCTGCACTTCATGGAGGTTACTAGGAATGATTTATATAAGCAGGAATTCTTTGAACATTGGGTAAAAAATGGAAGACTGCTGGCTATCTCAAAATGATAGACTGTTCACAGTGGTCTCTGGACTTCAGTCACCTGATGGTTCGCTTCTCACCCAGTCTAATCTTATTTTGCAGGAATTTGAGAGATACTACATAAACTTGTATACCTCTTCCCTACCTCCCACTTGC